ATAAAAGCCTGCTTTAGGAAGTGAGTTAAGAAAACCATTGCCTGCCTCAGTTCAAAACAGTGAAATGCACAATTCAAAAGCATCTCAACATTTTTAAGTGTTTTTTTTCCAAACTGGAGCATTAATTAGCATATCTAAAGTCTAGAATGGTTTTTGTAAAACCTACTTTTTGAATTTTTGAATTTTTTGAATTTTACATTTTTCCCCAGAACTACAGGGCTCATTCAAGCAATTGGGCTTTGTACTGATGGTGAGATGGAATGACGCACATTCAGAATAACTTTTCTCTGGTTGTAGCCCATGATGACAAGTGTTAGTTTTTTGTTCTGACACTCAACAACCAAGGGCAACTTAAGAGACAGAGTGCTTACAATTTTAGATGGAGAGTCAATAGAGGCAGCAGCAAAGTGCTGGAGCAGGAAGAAAGGGAGACATCACATCTTCAACTGCAAACACCAAGCAAAGAGAGTGGACAGCACCACTATCTGTGGATCCAATATTCAATTACCCAAGCCTAAGAGGAACACTCATCATTCAAACACAAACGGGGTGGGGGTGATTCGGTGATGTCAAGGAAACAGAAGCCACAGAGCCTCATATCTGTCGTTCTCCTTCCTGGCTCACAAATGCACTCCTAGTGTGAGGCAGAGTTGGGAGCATCATCCTACTCTCTTACATCTCACAGTTCTGTAATTGTGGTCCACGGGAAAGACATCTTTGGATAGCCACATCTTCATGGAGACTCTTATGAATTAATAGAAAAGGCAAATTTTTCTTGACAAAGGAAACCAAAGTTTAGGTCTTGGCTATGTCCCCAAAGAAAGTGGCCTCTCTACGTCTATTTGCTGTTCTGTAAATCTATACAATCTGTATAATACCAACGTAGTGTCCTTCCACTAAACATGTTAGATAACATACAAATTCCTATGGTATAGGAATAAATTTACTTGATAACACTTGCTGGTTTTAGTCAATAAAAGAACAAAGAACATTCTAACAGGCAAAGGTCTAATCAACCCTTATTCTACCCTACTGACAAAAAAAAAATCTTGAGATTATAAAGAGAGTTTTATCAACTGAAGTGCTAATTAATACATCCAAAGTTTGGTTACTTGAGAAACTAGAGCAGAAGAATTATTGTATTATTTATTTATGTTCTTATTTATTCATGAAACACATTCTTTATGATGCCGTTGCCTGAGGTGAAACAGTATCTGACACTTTTGTAACCTAGTATGACCAGAGGCATTTTCCAGTGTGTTTCCTTGCTCTATTTACAGTCCTCTTTCCTCTATTTCTCCTGCTCTCTATCTAAAGCCGGAAAACATTCACAGAGGCTCAAGTCATGGTAACCACAACGCCAAACCTTCAGTGAGACTTTCTGGGATGTCTTTCCTAACTACTGAGTTTTTAGACTGCTTGTGCTGGTCTCTTGCCACCTTCCCAAACACATTCCCAAATCTCACTCACCAACAGGCCATTCTACCTGCTGTGTGCTCAGTGTTGTAAATGGGCAATGTTTCCTCCCGTACTTGGGGTTCCCCAGTGCCAGCTTCGCTTCCACAAGCTTGCACCCTCAGCAGAGTTCCCACAGACAACTTTCCCAATCCCTTCCTTATCTACAACTGTTTCCAAATTTAGAGAGTAACAAGAAACCTATGCCTCTTGCCCATTTGTTCTCCCAAAACTGGTTTTCTTTGCAGCATTCCCACTGGAGATACAGTATCCCAATTGTCCTTGTCTGTGAGGTGATGGGACATCTCACTGGTTTGTGTTGTTAGTTACCACCATGTCCTAATTACTTCATTATTTGCACAAAGAACACAGAGCTGTCGTATTTATAGTAGCAGCTTATTACAGGGGAAAAATGAGTAAAAAGTAAAATCAGCAAAGGAAATTTTCACAAGGGGCAGAGCCCTAACACACTTGAATTTATAGGTGTTTTATACCATTGAAGCTCCCTAGAAATTGCTTGCCACACAGAGATGATGTGTGACTATACCAGTGAAGAGTTGCCAACCAGGAAACCCACCCAAACACACAGAGCACCCACATAATTGACCTTAGTCTCCAGCCCTTCCAGACCTCAGTTGGTACAGCATAGCCCAGCACTTCGGAACAAAAGGTGACATTTTCCACAATCACATTTTTAGTATAAATATTGCATGGCCCCAGACTCTAGGAATACAAACACATCCTTTTCAATAAATTTAGTTCAAGATATTTTCCCCAAAACCAGTCATGGACCAGACTTCCTTTTGGAATATGAAGAACTTAAGCACCCCAAGCCCCCTGGTTTAACCCTTTACAGCAAACTGTTCTAATAATCAAAACATTATATATTTGCTAGGAGAATCTTTAAATATGCTTATGTTGTTGTGAAAGATTTTCTTAGGGGCATTGATCAAAGTTACTTTATCCAAGCTTTTAAGATACATACATGAACCAGAGGTGGGGAAAGAGAAATGTGCAATAATGTCTCCTGGAAATGACTGGGATATTATTGAATTCATGAATTCACAGTAATTGTAACTATCCAAACAATACTTGCACAAGATCAAGCCAGTTGGTCTTCCACTGAGAAAGGGTTTATGAGGCTTCACCCTTACCTGAAGAGCTGACGACAGTTTATGGATACTAGTTGGAGGGAGCCATTTTTCTTCAGGTGTGTGGCCCATCATGGGTTGCCTGTGCTCCAATGTATGGCTCCACATCCGTGATCATATGAGCATCCTTAACGGGGGGGGGGGGGGGGGGGGGGGGGGGGGGGGGAGATGGGAAGGCCTGGATGAATTTGAAGAGGTTAATTAATGGGGTGAATATGACCAAAATGCATTGTATATATGGACGAAATTATTAAAGAATAGATAAGCTAATTTTTAAATGCTTCACAATTGAAGGATTTGTCCTGCAAAAAAAAAAAAAAAAAGATGTTTGTGGTACTGGCATGTATGGCATGTAGGATATATATGGTCAAGGGATTTTAGCCTTTGTCAAGCTACTCTGCTATTACTAAGTAATCGGACAAGATGGGACCAGAGCTTATACCACCAACTTTAAGGATCCAAATATTGGCTTTCTCACTATTAGTTTACAGACACCATTTCATCTCTTAATTTTATTTCCATAAAGAAGTCAAGGGGACAAAGAACAAAAGTTCATTGTTTCCTATGGATTCTGAACAGGGTCAGATGTATAATGAGTGCTCAGTAAATGTCCACTGTTAATACTGATTCCATTTTACAAAGTAACCTGCCAATAACTCACTTTCTTCCAATTAAACCAAATGAGGAGAGCAGAATGGTAAAGAACAAGGAAGCTAGAGTAAGGCAAGCAGGGCCTAATCGATGCCCCTGAAGTGATTAGCAGAGTAGATATGTACCAGCCAATCTCCACAAGACTCAGCTTCGCATCAACAAAATGGACTGTATAAATCCCAAATTAATCAAAAAAATCAAGCTTAACAATTGCCATTGCCAGGGCCATCAACCTAACTCCCCTGTGTCAAGTATATAAGTAAAATGATTTGTGTTAAATCTTGGTATTATGTGGTTCTTATAAGAATACAATTTGTTTTAATATATGGATCAATAATAAATCATTCTGAACAAAAAGAAAAATTAACTCATTCTGTAAATGTTTATTAAATTGTGTTTTATATCATGAATTATGCTGAATTGTACTAAAGGCTGAATTTGCATCATTTCTACTTTTTTTTAAAAAAATCACATTGTTTTTAATCAAGTATTAGAAACAACTTAACATTTAATGACAGAGACTGTACAGAATCACGGGGGTTCATAATAAACGTATCTCTTGCTTCAAAACCGATGGAAGGTATAGCATCCACCACTTATGCTCTCTTTCCACCTCCATAAAGACATAATTAATAGCAAATATTAGATGAATCAACTAATTACAGAAAACCATATACAAAACTTTTTTGCTAGAACCTGGATTCCAGATTTATGTCAGTTTTCCAGCTATATACATATTTGCTTCCATAAATCAATATTTTGCCTGAGGTCAGTTTTACATATAATAAGTAACTTTATCTGTGTGTTCTGCTTACTTTGGAGAATTACTGAGAATTTCAAATGAGCTAATATATTTGAAGTTGCAAAGAAAGCCCTCCAGTAAAATATGAGGGTATTATGAGATTTTTATCCCCAAAACCACAGGGCAGTATATTTGACAAAATGCTATGAGTATTATATAAAATTTAGCAAGTGAGAAGAATTTTATGAGGAAAAGAAGGAAAAGATAACTATTCCAAAAGAGAATTAACCACTTCTAATCTCTTTCATGGTAACTCATGAAGGCAAGTGCAAATTTGTTTTGATTCACAGGCCTGTACCTCAGAGGGCCTCTCTGAACTTGCCGTTGAATTTCATACTGTAACTCTAACTTTCCTCCTCAAGGCTGGCCAATGAAAGTGACCAACACAAGCACCGTTAATAATAGCATCACCTATTGGTTCTTTCGGCAAGAATGTATTTTCTCCAAAATATAAAACAAGAAAGAAGGAAGGGAGGGACAGAGGGAGGCAAGGAGGAAGGGAGGAAGGGAGAGAGGGAGAAAAGAAGGGAGGAAGGGAGAGAGGGAAGAAAGAAGGAAGGAAGGGAGCAGCTGAGAGAGAAGAGCTGATATTTAAATAATGAGTCTTAGTAGATTCAACTCAGAGTAGTTAATTTCAACACAGAGCTCAACATAGAAGATACTCCAAAAATATGTTTCTGGAATAAAGTCTCTTGTAATTGATCTGAGTTTTTATTTTGTTTTGTTTTTAATAACTCAAAACCAAATGTAGGATTCTAATTTACTCTGGGATGTAAAGTTGGCTTTTGCATAAAAACAGCTATCAGTGACTGAACACTGTTTAGCTAAAGAAGAAAATGCCTGTAAGATCAGACAAATAGCAAGGGAGGAGAGACAATTGCATGGGCAGAGGGAGGTGATAAAGACGGAACTGAGGGCATGGCCCATGTTCTTCTCCACAGACTGAAGCAGCTCTGATGTACGATGCTGTGTACATGGTAGCCATTGCCTCCCACCGTGCCTCACAGCTGACGGTCAGCTCCCTACAGTGCCACCGACACAAGCCATGGCACCTTGGACCCAGATTCATGAACCTGATCAAAGAGGCAAGTGTACCTTCTTTGTGGCCCATTTGCTTAACACCACTTAACATGTCTCTTTAATGTGTTTCTGGTGGCATAGTGATGCTATGTCACTGTCAACTGACCTTCTCAGATCTTAATGTCAGAAGTTTGCCAATAGATAGGAACTATTCTGTAATTTTCACATATAATGCTTCAATGCTCAAGCAAGCTACTAGATCATAATACTACTAACTAGATCATAATACTACTAACTGTTCTTCATTTCAGCCATGCTCCAATTACACCTCACTCTCCACACATAAGTACTTAGAGGTATTGAATCTATAAGGGATTTTAGTGCTCACATTGTGGGTTCTTGGTTTCTGTGGTCTCCCAAGGCTTATGCTTTTCTAAAGTCTACACAAAGGACTTCCTTATATTAGAGGAATTACCCTTTGTTAACAAAAGAGAAAAGTGTGTTTCTATTTAAAACTTCCTTGGGGTCCTAAAGACTCTTAAGAGTGGAAGCTATTTAGGAAGGCACAGCTCTTCACTAATATTCAGGTATTGAAGGCTGAATCTTCTTTATCTTGTTCTCTGGAACAATTTAAATTCCCTTTCCAAGACCTTCCAGGACTCTTAAAATATGTGTGCCTTTGGCTTATCTTTGAGACCAGCAGGCACATTGGGTATTTGTGGACTTGGCAATATGAAATAAGAAAATCTGACTGTGTGTCCACACTATCCTGTGACATGCTCTAGAATCTTCTCTGTGGGATGCAGAAGCTTGTTCTCCCATGAAGGCTATCTTCTTCCTTATCCATACTAGAGACAAACCACTGATTGAGAAGCATATGAGGGGGTAGAATACAGATGGAGACGGCTCACCCTATCGTGATGAAACTACCATCTTTGGGCTGGATGTCTGCTCATCTCCTCAGAACCTATAGACCACCTCTCCTGCTTCTATCTGCTTCTCCTTGCAGGCTGAGTTCATCAACGCAAGGGCCAGAGATAGAATGTGTATAAGAAATAAGACTCCAAGCACCCAGGGAGGACAGCTTGCAGCGCTGAGAGTAGAATACACACTTGTTGGTGCAAACTTTGCAAGACTGAAGAAGAGTTCTCTCTTAAATTTTAGTTTACCTTCCCTATCTTGTCCCCCCTGGATGCTTAGCTACAACCCCAGCTGACAAATATTAGACACTTAACTTTCCCGAGTCTGGAATTTTCATCCATGAAATGGGGACAGACCATGTACCTTCTTAGCTTTATTGTGCTGAAACTGAGCAAAGTTACTATTTGTAAAGAATAGTGGAGGGGTCCAGCCAGCATCTGAAACATTGGCTCCCCTTAGCATGAGAATGTGCACTTATAATAGCCCCATTCAGTTTACTGAGGATGGTGCCTGGAATTTAAAACTGGCAACAACAACAAAGAAATCACAAATGGGTGTGAAATGAAATCACCCTCTCTGACAGCTACATAAACCTGACATACTGTGGCTAATAGAAAACTGTCACGTGGCCTTGGCTTCTCCCTGAGGTGATGATCAGAGTCATGTCCTGAATTGCTGTCCTGATTGCCTTTATCTTTAACAAGAAAACATCTGGTTCGGTTCGAGGAGAGGCAGAAGCCGTAAGAAAGCCCAAGAGCAAACATCCAAAGCACTCCAACCACCTTTTTGCTTCCACTTCAGTTACATGAGAAGGTGAAATTGCCAAGCCACATTTAGGGATGTTTAAAGAAATAATGAGCCAAGATAAGGGATGGCACTGACAACAAGAAGACATTTTCTCTTTCTGTACTAGGAAGAACAACTAACTCCCCACTCTCAGGGTCCATGGTTGGGAGTGAAAGGAAGGCCATCTAGGGAGAATACAAAAATATTTGACAGCATTGTTCCTATCCTCTGTTTGGCTCCTGAGTCACCGTGATAGGTGCTGCCTTTACAGGGTGATGGGCTCTGCAGGGAAGATGGGATGGGGGTGGGGAACCGGGCCTGGTGTCCCAAGCTGCTGGAGGACAGGCAGGGAGGGAACTCTGCCATCAACTGAACACTAAACAGAAAAAAAAAAAAAATGCTGGTGTTTCTTTGGCTGAAAACATAGCCAAATTTTGCAAGTGTCAGATTGCATTATAAAACATGAAATAAAGTACTGGGTCCTTAAACTTCCCCACATCTTTCCCTATAGTCATTTTCCATTTCTAGAGGATTTCTAAAACAACAGACTGGGAAATAATAAGAAGGGTGAGTGAGCACACTGAATTAATTTTCGGAGTGAACACCAGCCTCATCATAGAAGCTAAAGTTCCCAGACAGAGGAGCCTGCAAGGGCAGTAATCAGAGACAGGTTAGGAAGCCTCTCAGATGAGCACCTTAAACCAACCACCATTCAGTATGTGGGGCTGACAGTAAAAGGGGTGGGATGGATGGCCTTTTGGAATGTGATGCTATACCTTCCAGAGTCCACTTCCTGGGGACTTGTTAAACAGATGTGTTTTAGGAGATGACAATTTTGCACTCAACACAACTCAACTAGAACTCTCTCTTGTAAAGTCATTGGATTGGTTTGCTCTTCTGTGGCTGTGATGAACCACTGAACAAAAGCAACTTAGGGGTAGAAAAGTTGTGTTTCAGTTATATTTCCAGACAACAGTCTATCACTGAGTGAAATCAGTGCAGAAACTCAGAGCAGAAACTTAGAGGCAGGAACTGAAGCTGAAACCACAGAGACGTGCAGCTTACTGGCTCCTGCTTAACTAGCCTTATATAACTCAGAACCACCTGCAATGGGTAGTACCACCTAGAGCAGTTATCAATCACCCATGATGAGAATTCTCCACAGACATGACCACCCACCACACTGATACAGGCAATACCTCAGTTGAGACTCCCTCTGGGTAATTCTTGGCTGTATCAAGCTGACAAGAAAAACTAGCCAGGACAGTAATATTTATGAGGTTCTGGGTATCAAACAGAGGGTCTCACTTGTGTTAGACAAGTGTTCTGCCAATGAGCTACACTCCCCAGCCCCTGCTCCACATCATATTAACTTGCTGTCACAAGGGATAACCCTCTCACCAAAGCAGAAGCTGTGCTTTCTACCATCCACTAAGATAAATTCTACCTAACTGAGAAATACCAGGCTTCATCTGAGGCTACCTCATATCACAGTATAAATGCTGCACCATTAAGCAGGATTTATAGGCTCTTTTGTGACCTTGTTCTCAAAGCCCTGTGGCATCTCTCTCATCTCCTTCACTGTCACTAGCCCTTGTTGAACCTGTGATGTTTCCCCGAACTTGCCCTATACTGGTGCTCAACTCCCTGGCCTCTTGTTGAATTGCCATATTTGTCAGGATCATGACTTATGTCTAACAAAAGCAGTAGCTCCCACCTTCTGATCCTGACTCTTCCCCTCACTTCCAACTATAATTATGCTGTCACATTTGTTTGCATGTCTTTCTCCAAGCTGTGTATTTTTCCAATCTCATCTCATTGGCTTTTACACAAAACAAGTACTCAAGTAAACTAATAGGTGAAGGACATAGGAACTGGAGAATACATACAAACTGCATGAAAAATCAAGAGATGGTATACACTCAGTACATTAATGCATCCATAAATATTTCAATAGAGACAAAGCATAGAGCAGACATGTTATCTAGCACTGGTGATCCTAATAACACATGTAGTGGTGGATTTTATAAATCTATCAACCTTTTAGCTCTGAAATGGTGAACATAAGTCTGAGATTAACTGCACTTTCCTATCTGTGTAAATTTAGTTATTTAGCTTAGGTTTCTCACTTTCTACTACAACACAGGGATAAAAATACTCCATATATTTATGGGGACTCTACACATACTATATAAAAGAGCCTACTAAAGCGTATGTTACATACTTGTTGCCCAATAAAGGGTACTATCTTCAAATGGAAGGTTCTGTTAAATATGTACATCAGTAAAACAGTTGTCAGTCATCTAGTAAATTGCCCAACATACTGTAAGGACTGTTTTTATCATTGGTGTCATCATCGTTATTACTAGAATCTAGGATGAGGTGGCAGTTTTTTGCATAAATATGGGTAAGACATTGCAGTAGGAAATCAGAAGGGCCTAGAGAGCTAGGTGTTTGACATATAGGTGCTCAAATGCAATGAGCTGGTGATCTAGAGGACTCCCCACATTTACCATACACATGGCTACTCAGGAAAGTAAAGAGACACTAAGCCAATTTGAATCTCAGTGTTTTCAAGGCACTGTAAAAAACAATACCATAAACTAGGTAAGTTGGCTGTAGAGAATGCCTCAGAAACATCATTATGGGAATAGGCATATCAAGGCTTCCGGGAAGATAATTTCCAATCACAAATACTAGGAAGAGCAGTACCAAGATACAGCCAAGACATCAATGGATTTTAAACTGTTTTCAGGGTCCCTGGCCCTGTATTAGAATTCATGTAAACCATTGATCCACTGTCTCCATAAATTACTTAGAAATTTGGGGGCAGTCTCAGTAGTATTCTACCCTAGGCATGCATCCGCGTCCTTCCCTACCCATAACCCTCATGGTTTCTCTCCTAGAATAAACAGATAACCTCTAACTAGGTTCTGCATCTTGAGTTACAGCCCTTTTGTGGTGATATATAGAAAACAGATGTATGTAAATCCATAATAGATTTTCTACTCTCTAGAAACACACATCTGCTTGTGACTTCCTGGGTCCATCTTCATATAGTGGAGACAGATGAATTTCTCCTGCTGGTTAAAATCTGCCTAATAACACCCCCCACCTACTTTGTCTTGTTCCCCTCAGCCTAGAAAATCTGTCTCCTGGTTGTCCCTTGGGCTAATTCTGACTCTGAATTCATTTTCTTTTGCAGGCTCCCCAAATTGTGTTTCTAGATGGTTCCCTCGTTAGGTCTCACAGTCCCTGGCATTCTCAGAGTTAGCTCTTAACACACATTATTCAAACATTGTACAGCCTTTCCCTAGGACAAGGATGAAAATCGTTGTATCTTTGTGTCCTCAGAGCA